ATGGGATGTCTGGAGGGTGACCCATCTTAGAAGCATATGTATTTTGGTCTTATTCATGGATCCTGTTAAATTCAACAATTCTGAAAAAGCAGAGTTTAAAGCCTGGGAATTTTTTTAAAAAATCATTATTCTGTGCTCACCATTTTTAGCTCTTAAGACATGGGAGAAGAGATTTTATAATGTCATGATTCATTGCTCTGATAAGAACCTACAAATTCCGACCCTGAGAGAATGGCTCTGATCTGAACTAGGGAGGTACTCTGAATTCTCTCCTGCGTAAGAGCTTCTGGAGTCTTCTGAAATAAGAATGATTACAGTCCTCTAATCTGCATTCTGTTTATGATAGTGTACTGGCTTTTGTTTTAGACTGCTTCCCCTCTTCTTTGTTCTCTACAGGAAGCATATAATTTGGGTATTATGAGATCCCCTGAAGGCATGAGGGAACATCCAAGTGCCAACGTTCTACCAAAGCCACGCTTTTGGTACTTACTGGAAGGACGTCATAAGAAGCTAAGAATTCACAAAGTTACAGATCCCTCCCCAGAAAGATCTCTAAGGTAAGGCTGAAGGTCACATGGCCAGCAGAGTATCCTGATATCCTTGAAAGTGCCCCCCACCCCTCAACTGTACAAAGTGGCTGGTATGCAGATTAGGAGTTAGCTAAATTAGAGAGAATTTTGAAATGCTAGATGAGGGGAAGAGATATATCTTCTTTTTATGTGAGTCTTGCTTAAAACCTCCATTTTGGAAGCAAGGCTAAAACCATCCTTGTGGTGGATTCCATGGGACTCTAGACCAGGCTTCATGAAGCAACATCTCCTAAATCTCACTAATGCAGAGAAATTTTTCTGTGATTTAAGCTATACAAAGAGCCACATCTAGAGAAAGGGTGATGTAGAAACCAGTATTATATAAGGTCCATCTAGCATGGAAATTTTGTTTCTTACAATAGCTCCTAGGGATCATTTATGGAGAGGCATTATCTTTTGATTTTATCATGACAACAATTTCAGAAATAGAGAGATGCTCCTGAAAAACATCAATATCATCTAATAACTTAGGAATCAAAACTTTCCTTAAGTCTTGAGATAAAACTATGAAAACTATAACTATTATATTCAACTTGAGTTTTAAAGCATACAAGAAAAGTGATTTAAAAAGCTGGGCATCTGCAAGGGTAAAATTAGCATAGAATACAAACCAAAATATTATTCCAGTAAATGGGCCATAACAGAAAAATTGCTGGAAAGAAGAATTAGGAGGAAGATCACCTCTTGTTCAGAAATTGTATGGTGGAGTTGTACACATGGCAGAGTTTCTCTACCTCTACTGTCAGTTACTTAGGAGAAGGGAAGGCCAGGTAGATGAGACAGCAGATGGGGGAAAAACAGAGCACCAGCTACCAAAGCAACACGACTCATGACAGCGGGCAGCTGCTTATGGAATTTTCTGCCAAGCTGCTGTTAAACGCTGAAGAACCAAAATGTGCCTCTAACAAATAAAATAGTTAAAGATAATCTATGTTTGTGATGAGTATATGTAAAGATAGCTAGAACTTCTGGTCAATATGTCTGAGTTGACATGGAAATCTCCTTTCCTACCCCAAACACATAGAAATGCTGGAAAACTATGACACAGCTACATGCGCACACGTACACACGTACACACACATGCGCGCGTGTGCACGCACACACACACACATACATACACACACACTGCCCCAGTATCACAAAAAAAGATGGGACCTAAAGTCAAAGCAGTCAGAGAGAGCTGAAACTGAAGACTTGAGGAAAACTGCAACCCAGTATAGGTCTGCATAGCTGGTGGCCAGGCCTTTAACATTTGTCATGAGACCTGTGCTCATAGGAGTTGGAATCAAGCTACTTAAAAAGAGCATGAAGTCACATAAGACTTGTCCAGACACAAAATAAGGATTAGATACACCATGATCATTCTCTGCAAAAGTTCCAGGGAGACCAGAGGAGAAAAGGGATCAAGTGCAGAACCCCAGGCCAGCGCTGTGCACCAGCCCTAAAGTAGATGTATTTTAGGCTCACGGAATAGGGTCCCAAGTCTAGAAACTGATACAAAATTGTTCCTAGGCCACAGGGTAAAATGCATATGACCCTCAACAGAGACATACATGAGAGCCACCTGTAGAGATGCTACCAGGTCACAGTTCATGAAGAGAAGCATAATTCATAAGAAAAAGTTTAATAATGTTGATTACTTGATCATTTAAATTTCCATGACACTATAGATAATACAGGCAAAATTAAAAGGCAAATGACCAGTGGGTGAAAATATATGCAACCCATATAACTATAAAAAGAAATAGTATCTGGAATTTATAACTTTTTTTTACATATTAATACAAAATGGATTTTAAAAGTATGAATAAGTGATTTACAGAGAAAGCAAATGATCCAGTAAACATGAAAAGATTTTCAGCTTCACAAATCATCATGGAAATGCAAATTAAAATATTAATGAGATACTTTTAAAATGTATCAGATTGGTAAAAATCAAAAAGTAAAGTTGTAGTATTTATAACTGCCGCCACCCAAATCTTATAAAGTTGAAAGTATATGAATCTACAACATAGTTATTCCCCTTCTAGGTGCACCTAGTGAAAGCCTGAACACTTGCATCAGTACACGCTGGTTGCTGCAGCACAGTGTATAAGAACTAAACTTTGGAAACTTAAATGTCAACCACCAAAGAGAATGGATTAAACACTAGCTCATTTCTACTATGGAACACCAAAGAGAATGGATAAATGCTAGCTCACTTCTACTATGGAACACTATGTAGCAATTAAAAGGAGTGAACTAGGTCTATGTATATTAACACAGGTATATATGTTTTATTTTACTTTAAGTTCTGGGATACATGTGCAGAATGTGCAGGTTTGTTACATAGGTATACATGTGCCATGGTGGTTTGCTGCTTCCATTAACCTGTCGTCTAGATTTTAAGCCCCGCATACATTAGGTATTTGTCCTAATGCTCTCCCTTCCCTTGCTCCCCAGCCCCCAAAACACAGACCTATTTTTAAAACACTGAAGAATGACATGGCATGATAGGCGTTCATGAAAAAATTAAAGTCACAAATTATATGTCAAAATATCTTCAAATCTATATATAACCTGGAAAGACAGAAGTAAAATTCATGGTCATGATTATCTCTGGGGAGGAAAGAAGGGAAATGGTATACTAAGGAAGGTCTCAAAAGAGGATTTCAGCTTTATCTGTAATATTCTCTCCTTTATTTAAAATTTAAAAATCTGAAACAAAATGAAAAATGTTAACATTTTAATGCTAGGCAATGTGTACTAATATGCATAGTATAACAATCCCTCTTTAAAAAATATTTTCTAAATGAAAAAGTATTTTAAAAATAAAATAAATTGTATGTCTTGGTCCTGTACAATTGCTAGGGTTTGACCACAAATTTGGTTTAGTTTCCCACAACAATGTAATGTCCTCTATACTCTATATAAATAGGACAACAAATTTGATAGGGCACTTCTTACCGTATCTTTTATTATAAAGTACAGGATGGTGATGTAACACCCTGCATGAAGCTTAGCAAAATGCAACCAGGGACAAAAAAATGAATTTTCAGCATGGGGGCTTTCCTATTTTTCAACATGTACCACTTTAATGCTCAGAGGTATAGATCCCATCTTGCATTTTAAGATGAGGAGAGGTTATTTAATTTACACATGTAACTAATGATACTGAAATTCTCCTCAGCCTTCATCTTTTCAGGCATAAGTGTCCTTGTTTTAAGCTGCATTTATGTTAGCTCTTTTGGCGCCTCAGACATTAAAATTGCTTAATTCTTTCTTCTATTACTCTGTTCGGTTTTCGTTTTAGTGTTTATGAGGCAATTGTCAGCCCCATCTGCAAGCTCAGAAAGTTCTCTCTCTCTCTGTCTCTCCCTCTCGTCTTTTAAATGCCTTTCTCTCAATTCCAGAAATATTACAGACTAGTAATGTCCTTCCATCCTCTCTTGCATAACCATGCCAATTCCTCAATCCAGTCTTAATGTACACAATTAATTGTACTGATCCCCCTTCTCAATACTTGAGTTATTTAATTTGTCTATCTTCACCTGTCTTTGTAAACCCCCAGTAAATGAAGCTCTTTCCAAATTTCTTCATATGACATTTGAGTTGATTCCGCATGTAAACAGATGCCTACAAATATAATACTTTGTGTGGTTACACTAATTCACAGTGAGGAAATGCTTTCAGGGCCCAAGTAGAGGGATATGCTTTTCACACACTGCACTTGCATAACCGTAAATAGTTGGTAAGCTACCCCCCTCCAGAGATATATAGTTCACTTACATTATTTGAAACATGATCAATATTTATGAGCTTCAGAGGTGCACAAAATTATTCCCTTTAATCATCAATTCTCTTGATAAGGACTTGATAAAACCACCCTATTTACTTCCTTAGAAGCAGAAATCAAACTCACTTTTGAATTAAAATAAGCACTGTGAAGTATATCTTCTTAGTAGCTGACTTTGTCAAATGATCATATAACTTCTGTGCATGTTGTTTTCCACACATGCTGCCTCCATACCAATTTGCTGATTTAAAGTCACAAAACAAATCAATAACAATGACAACTGAAGTATAATAAAATACTGGCTTATAGCTTTAAAATATATGGTTCTTTTACCCCTACATATTCAACTGGAAGGAACAACTTCTAGGCATGAGCTTCTTTGACTTAGTTGGTCACATAATGCAAAACATTAACCATGTTCGCAAAAATGAAAAGTTTGTCCACCAATGACCATAAATTAATCAATCATTCTTAGCACTGGAAGCAGCTTTTCCAAAGAAAAGATTTTTTATACCATATAGATCAAGTCAAAACAGGTGTTTAGATTAATTATATTTCCTTTTATTCTGCTTATCACAAATTAATTGACTTTTTGTGAATTATTTCTACAGAGGTTAGCAACTCCATTTAAAAAGTTAATATATCTGGCTTTCCGTGCCGGTAGCGCTCACGCAAAAATGGACGTTCCTAAAACCCGCCGGACTTTCCGTAAGAAGTGTGGCAAGCACCAACCCCACAAAGTGACACAGTACAAGATGGGCAAGGATTCTCTGTACGCCCAGGGAAAGCGGCGTTATGACAGGGAGCAGAGTGGCTATGGTGGGCAAACTAAGCCGATTTTCCAGAAAAAGGCTAAGACTACAAAGAAGATTGTGCTATGCATTGAGCCCAACTGCAGATCTAAGAGAATGCTGGCTATTAAAAGATGCAAACATTTTGAACTGGGAGGAGATAAGAAGAGAAGGGGCCAAGTGATCCAGTTCTAAGTGTCATCTTTTATGAAGACAATAAAATCGTGAGTTTACGTTCACTTCATTTGTTTGCAGTTTATCTTTTGGGAGGGAATAAGCTTGAGCCATCAGCACAATTCCACCTATGGGGAAATTTATGCCTCTTCAAACTCCTGACCTCAAGTGATCTGTCTGCCTTGGCCTCCCAAAGTGCTGGGATTACAGGCATGAGCTACCAAGCTTGGCCCAAAATAAATATTTTAAAGTAAAAAAAAAAAGTTAATATATCTGATTAAATGTCTAACAAAAATATTTTTATGGTAAATTTCATAATTTTTGTTATGGAAAAAACATAAATGCCTAAATATATGTTTAAAACAAAAACAACCCTTAAGTGTATTCTATCTTCTATAGATTATCAACAATCACTTCTTTTGGTGAATAGTTTTAAGATTGTGCAACAAATGTTTACTGAAAAGAGGAACAATGAATTTATGTTAGTAAATGAAAAACAAACCCATCTAGCAAATAGCCAAGAAGTAAACTCTTTAAAGGGCATTTTGACTTTTCATTAATTGCACTGTCTCTGGTATAATATAGTCTACCAACAAGGATGTTTTCGGCAATTATTTCCAAGTTGCCATCAACACTATCCCAGCGCAGCCTCGTTATCTATTTTGCCATGTCCCTGCTTATTACAGGATTTAACCACCATCTCAAACCTTGTCGTCTTTGTTTTTAAGCCTGCAGCACCTCTTCTAATCACAGGTACCTGTACTCACACAGATCAACAAAGTGGGTCTCCTCCATGTAAACAAATCTTTGAAGCTCAAATAAACTTTTCACTAGAAGCAACATTCCGCTAGATCTTTATGAATGTTCTCAGAATTGCCTATGAGAATTTTATGCCAAACACCAAGACCAATTAAAGCTCAATCAGGCCAGTAAGCATTCATTCACGCATTCATATTGACAATAGATTTCATACTTGTTTTTTCTTCTCTGCTCTTTGCAACATTTCCTTCTTCTTCCGCAGTTTCTCTTTCTCCTCTTCCTTTTCTCTTCTTCTGGCAGAAATTTCCATTTCCAGTCTTGCTACCTCTTCCTGGTGGGCCCGCCATTGAAGAACCTGACATAAACAGAAAAACTTCATTCCAATAACTATGCACACTGAAATTATTTCACAGGTCATAATAAGACTAGGCTCTATATCAAGCAGATGTCAATTTTTTTCCAAAGATATGTTTAAATTCTATGTGCACATGAGTGTGTGATATATCTGTGAAAGGTGTATGTGTGTGTGTTAGTGTTAAAAGAAAAAAGCAACTTTAAAATCACCACGATCAGGAATTCTTCATCTGGATTCATGGCGTGGGGTTCCTGAAGAGTCTATGATTTAACTCCAAAGAATCTGTATATTCCCATAAATAGTACATAAAAATTTTTGGCCTTTTGCATATTTTTTCCCGGAGATTAAACAACTTTCAAAAATTCTCAAATAATCCTGAAATGCTTAAGAATCCTGAAAAGTTTAAGAATCTCTGCTATATTTCATTCTTCTTATTTTATAAAAATGGAAAACAGGCTTGAATTAAGTTGAAAAATCATTTTAAGACACTTAAAACAACTTTCTGGGTACTGGTATGTGTTATTGGTAGAGGTATATTTGGTACAGCCTTTCTGTTGGGTATTAGGTAATATGTAAATATGTGTCACAATATAAAATATGCATAGCCTTGGTACACAACCCTATTTCCAGAACATTATTTAAAGAAGACAATTAACTGGACATGTGCACAAAAGTGTACCCACAGGAATGTGTAGTAGAGTTCTGTTTAAAACAGAAACATTGAAAAAGTCTAAAGTCTGGCAGAAGGAGATGGCTTAACTCAATTGTGGTACCTTTATACAATGACTGCCATTGAAAGAGGATGCCATAACTCCATATTCATTGACATAGAAAATATTCACAACATATTATTAAATGCAGAAAAGCAGATACAAAACCACATTTATGGTATGATTTCATTAATGTAAAATATCAACTATGCATCTATGCATAGAAGGAGATTTGGATGGGGACTTACCAAAATAATGATATGGTTATCTCTGAATAGAATCATTTCCTGGGAGTTTAAAAAAAATTATTCTTTAAACCTTTCTGTGCTGGGTGACATTTTTTCAATAAAAATATATTATCGGTGTAAGCAGGAAACTAATGAAACTAATGAAATAAAAAAAAAAACTTATCTGATCCATGTATACATCTGGCTAAGAAGCAGACAGCAGGGAAATGCCGAGGTATGCAAAAATTTTTTATATTAGCATTCCCAATTAAATACTTCATTTCTTACACATTGATGTAATCATCATTTATAAATGATAATATATAAGATGAAAATTAAATAAATGTAATAATGTCACACAGATAAAGCGACTCTAAACAATTAAGCTCATTCTGTAAAATTTTCATTTTCTAAAGTAATATTTTGCCTTGTTTATCAGAATAACCCAGGAAATTTCCACTCCTGGTTTTTAAACACAGTTCAGTTTACCCCCCCTACTGCTTATCCTGGCCATCATATTGACCTTTTTCTAGGGAACCCCATCCCAAGAATAGATCATCCCTGCCTTCTGTCCTGACCTGCTTTCAAACCTTTCCTTTCTATAATTTATCTTCCATCTTTCACTTGGTACAACTAAGCAGTGTCATGTCATCCCATCACATATTACTAGTGATCTCCCCATGAACACGCAAGGGATAGTTCTCTGTCCTCTATTCCTCAACCTCATGGTGAAATTTGACCCTGTTGACCATAGCTCTATGCTTAAAACTCTTTCCTGCCCAGATCGTGACATTGCTCTCCCCTGTTTCTCTACCAACAGATACTGTTCTCTTCTTCCTGTTTCCTGTGTCTACCCTATAATCCCAACCCTACATTATCCTCTCATTAATATCCAACCTTTCTATGCTCATTATGTGATGTGCTCATCCTCTTCTAGGAGTTTGCTTCTATGACTACAAAATTTGCATTATCAGCTCTATCTTTTTGCCTGCAATCCAATCCTATATTAACAAATTCTTTAAGACTTAGCTATTTGTATGTGCACTTAAAATCCAACATTTCCAAAATTAAATTCAACATCTTTAACTTTGCCACAACTTCACATCAAACCCAGTGCACCTACTTTGCCTTTCCAAATATCCTGGTTTGGTCTGTGGAACCACAAGTCACCATGTAGTCTGGATTTTTTTTTATTACTATGTATACATATTGACATGACTGTCTCTTTACATTTTATATCTGACTTGGAAGATCATATATTTCTTAAGCTCAGATGAACTTTTATTTATGAGAAACTAATTCCCAAACCATTGAGCTTGGCTGTAGTTCCGTAGTCCATCCAAAGTTTTTCTGCCAAAAGTATTTAGAACAAGATCAGAAAGTTCAAAAGGCTGATGTCAACTGATCAATTTAGAATCTAAATAATTTAGTTTTCTCACTGCCAACCAATGCCCCCTTTGATGTAGCTAACACGTAATCTCTAAGTAGCGTTCTTCTTCTGCCTTCCCTTATTTATATGGCCATTCCTATTCTTAGTTCATGAAGTGACTCAAACTACCCCCTGCTTGGAATGCCTTCAGATTTCCCCTTCTTCATAAAATATTCATGGCCCACATCTTTCCTTGAAACAGTCTACTGCCCATGCTCATCTCTCTTGTCTTATCTCACTGACCATACCATAACTGCTCTCTGTGTATGTCGAATATATTGTTGGTTTCCACTTAGAGCACAGTCCATGCATTTGCTTTCCCCTTATACTGCCTAGCAGAGTACTCGGACATCATAGGTGCTCAATAAGTAACTTTTATTTAATCCATCAAAATGAATATTTTAAATGAAACCTGGTAAATAAGAAAAAAATGTTAGTATTGGAACACACCACCTTGCAACAATTGCTGAAATAATGGATCCGCATTTATGATCATCAGTGGCTGCTAAAAACTTCATATTAACAATTAATGGGAAACTTATAATGAAGGGATCAAGCTGGCAACAAACACACTGAATAATCTTAACATCATAGAGGAACAAGCAAACATTTTCCTACTGATGGAAGCATACAGCATTCCCATGAATTATTCTTGCCAAAAAATAAAATTGAATCTGATCAAAGCTCTAGACCTACCCATCAGGTTACATGAAATTCAGCCAACAGAAAAACACATTATGCAATAGTACGTGGGAACATAATCTGCAAAATTAAAATTTGTGAACCCTCAAAGAACTTTAACAAATTACAAGAAAAAAAATGAAGGAAGAACTATGAATTGAAAGAGATTTAAGAAACATACTAGCCAAATGCAATAATTGGTTTATATTTGGGTTCTGATGTAAATAAACCAATGTAAAAAGAAATTATGAGATAATTAGAGCTATTGAATGCTGATTGGTTAGTTGATGCTATTAAAGAAACACTGTTCATTTTTAGGTATGAAAATAGTGTGGTTATGGTCTATAATTTTAGAGATAAACACTTCAATTTTAAAACTAGATACTTAATACTAACAAGATATGATGCTTGTGATTCGTACTATTATTTCAAGGGGCATGGGGGAGTAGGTAAGAATACAGATAAAATAAATTTGACTAATGAATGGATAATTGCTGAAGTTAGGTGATAACAGACTTTCATAGGTTTTTTAAAATTTCCATAATAAAAAATTTATTGAAAAACAAAATAAACTATAAAATATAATGCATATGAAAAGAGAGTTATATAATAAAATACTGTAGTCTCAAGGTTCTGAGGCAGTAGGAAGGAAGATTTGTGATACATCGAATTAGTGAAAAGAAAATTCAGCGTTTCTGAGCACTGAGACTATTTTTATAAATCGTAATGGAAATAAGTCAGGGCTTTGTAACTATTCTTCTCATTTATTGATTTAAAACTAACTTAGGGGAACCATCATTGAATGGCTTTTGCATATATGATGTCCTATGATTTAAACAAGCAAAAGCATAAGTGAAAACCTATAAATGGAAAAGATTTCTGTTTCCTGAGGCAAGTATAGCAAGAGAATAACCAGACCAATCAAACTGGTATAACCAGTTTACTCAACAATTTATTTAATTTACCCTTCCCTGTCTTTGGCAAGTCTAAATGATGCTTCTTTTCTCCAAAAAAAAAGATAAAATTATGTTGATTTTTATAAGTGATGTATACACCAGAAAATTCTGAAGCAGCTGCAAATTCAACAACCAGAAGCCAATAGTTTGTAGATCTTAAGCAACAGAAGAAGAAAAGAAAAGAAAAGAAAAATGCTGTAAAAACAAAAGCCCTAGAGCAAAGCTTCAGCCTTCAGAATCTAAATTGCTTCTACTTCATATTGGAATCATGGGGATGGTCAGAAACCTGTAGAATTTTACCTGAAGTCAATAATTCACAGTGTTATTTCTAATTATAATGCTATCAGAAAAAAAAGGGGTAAAGGCAAGAAGGTTGTTGGAAACTAGAGTGGTGAGATCTTGACAATGAGAAACAGGCTCAGCAGCAATCGGTATCTAAGCAATAAGGCAAAACAGCTTTTCAGAATGCACAGTGGAAAAGATGAAGAATCTGGTAGCCATTGAAATAATCCTTATCCAATGGATCCTCACAGAGATAGTCAAGGGATGTGGATGGCTCCCATGTGGAGAGAATGACAAACAATTATGGTATTTTCAAGATGCCTAAGGATAAGAAAGCTGGCAGGTGGGCAAAGAAATCAATATTAGCACAATAGACTAAAGCATAGAAGACTCTGAATGAACAGTGAGCAAAAGGAAGAATAGCACAGAAGAGCATTTTAGTAGTTTTATTTTAAAGGCTTTACTAATTATATAGCTTTAAACAGAATATGTGAACATATAACCATGTACCAATAATAATCACAAAAGAACATTACCACAGTAGCAGCCATGAGTGTGTGTTACAGGAAAGCATTATTTAGATTACTAACTACAAGGCATTTTTCCACATTTTAATTAATACTTTACTTAATATGCCTGCCAAGGGTGGTCTCTGAATAAGACCTTAACCTAACAGAGGATAAATGACATTTAAAATATGTTCATCTAGTGCAAA